ACAGGAACTACAGAACGATCAGTCATTGATACGTTCTTTTTGGCAGTAACATAGAAAGAGAACAAATCTTTGTTGGAGCAGACATAACTGGTATCACCTGTATCTAACCACCAACCAGAGATGTTGTTAGGAGTTGTCACCTGAAAAAGCATAGCCAAACAATTATCAAGTTGATTAACATTGTGTGTTGTTCCCTTCTTTGGTACTTTGCAATTCTTAGCAAAATGTCCTTGCTTCCCACAATTGAAGCATTTACCGCTCTTCGCTCTTCTTAAAATATTTCTTCTGAACATTTAGGTTCTTCGAATTATAGTTCTTCTTTTTGTTAAAAGACTTTTTTTTCTTAGAAGAAGAACTGGCACCCTTCTCAGAGTTAGCAACCACCATGTTAGAAAACACTTTCTGCTTAGCAAGGAGCTCATTCTTCGTACGAGTCCGAATCTCGTCCTCGATCCGAATGAACCTCTTCAAATCAGACAGAGTCATCTGTCTTTTCCTTCTTCGAATATTCGTGGATAATGACATCCAAGATGGAGGAAGCTTGTTAACAATTGCACAAGAAATAAAGATTTGACAAAGACTGATCTTTTCATCCTTTTGCTTTATAACAAGTTTTTCGAGCTCTTTGACTTGAGACAAAATCTCAGTGTCATCTTCGAATTTGAAGTCCAGAAACATGTCAATGAGGTAAGACTTTAAAAGCTTCTCCTCATCCTTGTATTACTCCTCCAGAGCATTCCAGATTTTCTTTGCAGAGGGCTTGTTGGTGTAAGCATCTGTCAAATGATCAGCCAGGCAGTTAAGGAGATAACTCCTATAGAAATGATCATCTTTAGCCTAAGAGGCTTCAGACTCAGAGTTTTCTTCAAAGTCAGGTTTATCCTCAGAAACCACATAGTAGATTTTCAGGAGTTACATCCCGAAAATCACTTTCCGACGTCATACGTTAAAGTTGGATCCATCAAAATGCTCTAACTTGAGACAGTCTACTCCAAGAGTCCTCGCAGGATCCATAGTAGATCAAAAATATTGCTTTAAGATTGTTAGAAATTATGGTTAAATTTGGAATAAAATAGTAAAAATTGATGTGCTCTAATTTTAAACTTTTTCAAGTTAACTGTTGTATGTTTGTGAAACGCTCTGCTTAAAGCAATATTTTGCCTACTACGGTGCAAGGATCCTAAGGCCAAACTACTTTCAGGAACAGCAGTACAGTACTCTTGTGTGCACCAACCAAATACTATCAAGATTTCCTCGATCTAAAAGACCTTTCGGTCAAGGTAAAGATCTCCATGATCTCAGAACCTTTCGGTTCGAAACCTTTTGGTTTCAGGGCAAGTTCTGCGGGCACAGTTTCTACAGTAGCAGTATAACGATAGCAACAACGTCAAGATCTCCTCGATTCGACGTTCATTCTCTAGTTCTCTAGCTTAACTCCAAGAGCTGTCCAAGGGGCACTATTTATAGGCCTCTAAGACCATCTCAAGAGTCACCCTCAATTAATATGACTGTTACAATTCACAATGGCAATTATGATTGTGACATTAATGTATTAAACTGCTCTAAATATCGTTGTAACTGTTGTATGCAGTAACTCCTGAATACGAGGTAATCAATGGACGCGATACTACGAAACGCGAGGGTCAAGTCTCAACAAATTAGACGAACTTCATCTGTAGGACAAACCTCGTCGAACGGGCAAACCTCGTCGAACGAGCGAACCTCGAACGAGCGAACCTCGTCAGATCTCAAGAACGCTAGGGTCACATCCTTGTGCGAATGCGTAGATCGTCCACATGCTGCGAAACAGCCTGTGAGGCAACCTTCATGGCACCACCAAGCCCCGATGTCTCCGTGCGAAGTGCAAAGTGCGCCTAACAAAGCGCCTATGATCCCCGGCCCACGAGCCCACGGTCTAACCCACGGCCCACGAGAACTTATGAGAGATTAATTAAAATAAAATACTTCTCGGCTTGCTGTTGGCAAACCTCGAATAAGGGACCTTTTGAAACCCCAAAATATTAACTTTTCACTAGGCTACTAAGCATTTATGAAAAGTACTAGTAGTTAATATATATATAGTTTGAAAACTCATTTTGGAAAGCGGCTTTGACCAAAAAATCCAACAAAAAATGCAACCCTTTGCTCTCTTCTTGTTTTCAAGTCCAAATTCTATATTTTAAACCAAAATAACACTTCATGTTAGCCCTCACACTTGCAATTTCACTATCATAATAAGATGAGCCTGGTAACATAGTCCTTAACCCTAAACACACATCTTTTTAGGGATTCTATTAGAGGAGATGAAGAAGAATAGAGATTATAATGAAAATTTTAGATTATATAAGCTTTGGGTTGGAATTTTACCGTTGGAAGTGCTATTTATAGGTTTGGGGATTTTGCCGTTGAAGAAGAAGAGGAAATTAGGTTGCGAGTTGAGGATATAAACCCACTATAACCGTTAGTGTTTAACGAGAAAGGGTATAACCGGAAGTTAGCA